CTGAGCTTCGGCAAAAGATAAATGCAGTCTGAAACCGACTCCTTCCATATGTTTGCACCAGGTTAATCTTAGCCGTCCCCGGGGCCTTTTGCCCGTCGGATTTGCAAGGAACAGTTGCTTAGCCTTCCTTTCTGGTGGCATTCGCAACACATGCCCAAGCCATCGCAGCTGTAACTTCTCAATCTGGAGTAGCAAAGGCTGTAATCCAAGGCTTTTACGAATGTCACTATTCCGGACCATGTCTTGACGAGTAAGGTCAGTACGGCCAGCCACTCGTCTAAGAAAGCCCATTTCAGCAGCTTGTAACCGGGTTCGAAGTTTTTCAGTGGTGGTCCACGATTCATGACCGTAGGTAAGTATGGGGATAATGATCGACTTGAATATTGAGAGCTTAGTCTTCTTCCATCACAGTGTTTTGGGCTAGTTTACGCAAAAAGCTACTGGCAACTCCAATTCACCGATCGATCTCTTATTCAGATTTTCCATCACTAGTAAACACGACTCCGAGGTACTGAAGACAGTTTTGATTTTAAATTCCATAGGTACTTTAATATTCATGGCTCTTCAGACAAGATTAATTTCATTACGGTATGCTAAAAAGATAATAAGCTTAATAATCTTAAGCCTGTAAGATTTGTCCTTGCAAATGGAAGCAAAGAAGGATACTTTGATTTTCCAATTGATAGAAAGTCCACGCAATGAATACTTCCTATTGTTTTATAAATCTCCATGTTGTACTTTAATCACTAGAAATAAGCGCATAAGATGTAGATTTCTGCTGAATTTATAGCCTGAGAGGGATGCAAGAGCCAACTCCGCTGAGCTGTGACAGTTGTTAGCCGCCGGTATTTTTTGTGACCTGGCCATCGAAAATGGTTCCACGGCTTTGAAAGGTACATGAACGCTGCAGTACATATGTAGTGGATCACCAGGGTTGTCGCATTGTAGCGGATTAGCTAATCTGCTGAACCTTCAGTGTGGTCAACTAGCAGAAGGTATATGAAGGAAAATGCGCAGAGTCAATAAAAATCATAGAGGTAGCCAGTTTTTTATAAATATTATCAAGCATGTGATCATTAACATTTAGAAGCTCCGGCCATGCCAAAGCAAGCGTACTTAATTTTGCATTTATTTATTCTCAACAAGGAACTTCCAATAGAGAATTGCAAGTGCGTTGACAACATGTCTCTCAATGAATAAAATACGATGCACCTAAGAAAAAGACTGATCTAAGACGTACCTCACTCAACGTATTGAGAATTCGTTTTCAATGACGGCATAATTTTACAATCACACCGTCTTAACGCACATTTCATAGAGGTTCAGGAAACTCTGGACTCACTCATCGCCATCAAGGAAGCCATTTACATATTGCGATAGGTGTGACCGAAGTACCAAATAATACCGCAACGCAGAAATCTTCCTGTACTAGCATGGGGATCATTTTGGTACTATGTTTGATTGGACTATAATTTTTAAATCACCCATCACCCACCAGGGTCATTAAAGCGCATTCTAAAGCTGCTAGACAACGTCTGCCGATAAGGTTTGCATATTGCTGAACAAATGGCTAATTCAGAATCGTTCAGAGTGAAGTGTCGTTTGACGATGAGAACTTCGCCGATGCTACACACCTTCTTCACTGTTATTAAGCGATCTGTGCCG